CCTATGGAGGTCTCATCTGGACCCACTCACCCAGACCGAGCGGTCATAAGAGGTGGTGGGGTTGCTCCTGTCACCACAGAGCACCTTCTGAGTCCTCCCAAACCCCCCCTCCCTATCCTTCTCCTCCTTCGAGGCCCACTGCATCCGACTAATCTCCACAACCCCCCTGAGGATTGCAGTAATCTATCGGCCTCCTGGACCGTGTCCTTCTTCCTGGATGACTTTTCCTCCTGGCTACCCTTCTTCTTCTCCTCTGAGCTACCCACCATCATCCTTGTGGATTTCAACATCCCTGTCAACCTCGACAACCCGGCCACATCCCATCTCCTCCACTTAACCTCCTCCTTTGCACTTGCACAGTGCATACAATCCACCACCCACTCCAATGGGAACATCCTGGACCTTGTCTTCTCCAACCGCTGTGCTCCCCACAACCTCACTAACACCCCCTTCCCTCTCTCTGACCACAACCTGATCACCTCCCTATCTCCTCGTCCTCCAACGCCTACCCCTCCAAATGTCACACTACTACCAGCCGAAACCTCCGCAACCTGAACCCTGCCCCCCTCCACTCTGCAGCTGATCAACTCAATGACAGCATCCTCCCCCTGTCCTGCCCCGACTTGGCTATGACTGCCTACAACAACGCGCTGTCAACAGCCCTTGACTCACTAGCGCCTTTAACCACACGCAACATCAGACCCCGACCGCTCCAGCCCTGGCAGACTGATCACACCAAAACCCTCAAACGACACAGTCGTGCCCTGGAGCGACTATGGCGCAAAACCAAATCCCAACAAGCCTTCACCCGCTACAAATCTGCCTTCCACACCTACACCTCCTCCCTCCACGCCGCCAAACAAGCCTACTTCCTGACCCTCATCAAGGCCCTCTCCTCCAATCCTTGCCGACTCTTCTCCACCTTCAACTCTCTACTCTCGCCACCTCCACCTCCACCCAGCACCTCACTCACTGCCCTTGAGATTGCTAATCATTTCAAAAATAAGATTGACGCAATTTGTAGGGACATCGCCACTGCCCAGACCTCCTCCCCACCCATCCCCTCTCACACAGCAACCCCCCCATCACCGCTCTCCCTCGGCCTCACCACTGTTCAGATCTCCACCCCACCCAACATCCCTCACACTGAAGCCCCCTCAACACTCCACTCCTTCGAGCTTACTACCATCGAGCAGGTCACCAAGGTATTCTCTAATGCCCGCCTCACCACCTGCCACCTCGACTCTGTCCCCTCACAACTCCTACAACCTTCCTCCCCCTCCATCCTACGCTCCCTCACCCACATCTTTAATCTCTCCCTCCCTTCGGGCGCATTCCCCTCCCCTCTGAAGCATGCGCACATCACTCCCATACTGAAAAAGCCCTCCCTGGACCCCAATGACCTGAACAACCTCAGACCCATCTCCCTGCTCCCATTTACATCTAAACTCCTCGAGCGCCTCGTCTACACCCGCCTATGCTCTCACCTCAACGACAACAACCTCCTTGATGCCCTACAGTCTGGCTTCCATCCCCTACACTCCACCGAAACTACCTTACTCAAACTCTCCAACGACCTGCTAACCACCAAAGCTAATGGACACTATATTCAGTGCTCCTACTCCTTGACCTCTCTGCGGCCTTCGACACAGTCCACCACCCCCTCCTCCTCAAAATGCTACACTCCCTCAGCCTCAGAGATTCTGCTCTCTCCTGGCTCTCATCCTACCTGTCACAACGCTCTTTCAGCGTTACCTATAATGCTACCACCTCCCTCTCACTCCCCCTCTCTGTTGGGGTCCCCCAAGGCTCTGTCCTCGGGCCCCTTCTCTTCTCCATCTATACCTCCTCCCTTGGCCAACTCATACACTCTCACGGCTTCAACTACCACCTCTATGCCGACGACACGCAAATCTATCTCTCGACCGCTTGCCTTACCCCCTCAGTCTCCGCCCAAATCACACACCCTACTGAGCGACATATCAGATTGGATGTCACTCCACTTCCTTAAACTGAACCTCTCCAAAACCGAGCTCCTAGTCTTCCCCCCAGCCTGCGCCCCCCCCCCATCCTCTCCAGCACGTCCAACAATGCCACTATCAGGCCCGCCCTGCAGGCCAGAGTACTTGGTGTCATTCTGGACTCCAACCTATCCTTCCAGCCCCAAGTCCAATCTTTAACAAACTCGTGCCGACTCCACCTCCGCAACACGCAGACTCCACCTCCGCAACATGCAGACTCCACCTCCGCAACATGCAGACTCCACCTCCGCAACATCGCCAAAATCTGCACGTTCCTAACCCCAGAAACCACTAAACAGCTCATCCACTCCCTCATCATATCACAACTCTGACTACTGCAACTCCCTCCTCACTGGCCTGCCTCACCGCTGGCTATCCCCGCTTCAGTCCATCCTGAATACGGCTGCCAGACTCATTCACCTTTCCCGCTCCCGCCACCCCATCTCCGCCACCCCCCCCCCCTCTGCCAATCCCTATACTGGCCTCCACTCAGTGTCCTCCACCCCTCTCTGCCAATCCCTCCACTGGCCTCCACTCAGTGTCCGCCACCCCCCTCTGCCAATCCCTCCACTGGCCTCCACTCAGTGTCCTCCACCCCTCTCTGCCAATCCCTCCACTGGCCTCCATTCAGTGTCCTCCTACCCCCTCTGCCAATCCCTCCACTGGCCTCCACTCAGTGTCCTCCACCCCTCTCTGCCAATCCCTCCACTGGCCTCCACTCAGTGTCCTCCACCCCCCTCTGCCAATCCCTCCACTGGCCTCCACTCAGTGTCCTCCACCCCTCTCTGCCAATCCCTCCACTGGCCTCCACTCAGTGTCCTCCAATCCCTCCACTGGCCTCCACTCAGTGTCCTCCCCCCCTCTGCCAATCCCTCCACTGGCCTCCAGTGTCCCCTCTGCCAATCCCTCCACCTCCGCAACATGCAGACTCCACCTCCGCAACATGCAGACTCCACCCTCCGCAACATCGCCAAAATCTGCACGTTCCTAACCCCAGAAACCACTAAACAGCTCATCCACTCCCTCATCATATCACGACTCGACTACTGCAACTCCCTCCTCACTGGCCTGCCTCACCGCTGGTTATCCCCGCTTCAGTCCATCCTGAATACGGCTGCCAGACTCATTTCCAAATGCTCCATCCTTTCCAACTGCCATCCCTCCACTGGCCTCCACTCTCCCCACCCCCCTCTCCCCCTCCACACCCCCACTGCCAATCTGGCCCCAATCCCTCCACTGGCCTCCACCCCCCTCTGCCAATCCCTCCACTGGCCTCCACCCCCCCCCTCTGCCAATCCCTCCACTGGCCTCCACTCAGTGTCCTCCACCCCTCTCTCTGCCAATCCCTTCACTGGCCTCCACTCAGTGTCCTCCACCCCCCCCTCTGCCCACTCCCTCCACTGGCCTCCACCCCCCTCTGCCAATCCCTCCACTGGCATCCACTCAGTGTCCTCCACCCCCTCTGCAATCCCTCCACTGGCCTCCACTCAGTGTCCTCCACACCCCTCTGCCAATCCCTCCACTGGCCTCCACTCAGTGTCCCACACCCCTCTGCCAATCCCTCCACTGGCCTCCACTCAGTGTCCTCCACCCCCTCTCTGCCAATCCCTCCACTGGCCTCCACTCTCAGTGTCCTCCGCCCCCCTCTGCCAATCCCTCCACTGGCCTCCACCCCCCTCTGCCAAATCCCTCCACTGGCCTCCACTCAGTGTCTGCCACCCCCCTCTGCCAATCCCTCCACTGGCCTCCACTCAGTATCCTCCACCCCCCCCCTGCCAATCCCTCCACTGACCTCCACTCAGTGTCCTCCACTCCTCTCTGCCAATCCCTCCACTGGCCTCCACTCAGTGTCCTCCACCCCTCTCTGCCAATCCCTCCACTGGCCTCCACTCAGTGTCCTCCACCGCTCTCTGCCAATCCCTCCACTGGCCTCCACTCAGTGTCCGCCACCCCCCTCTGTCTATCCCTCCACTGGCCTCCATTCAGTGTCCTCCTACCCCCTCTGCCAATCCCTCCACTGGCCTCCACTCAGTGTCCTCCACCCCTCTCTGCCAATCCCTCCACTGGCCTCCACTCAGTGTCCTCCACCCCCCTCTGCCCAATCCCTCCACTGGCCTCCACTCAGTGTCCTCCACCCCTCTCTGCCAATCCCTCCACTGGCCTCCACTCAGTGTCCTCCACCCCCCTCTCTGCCAATCCCTCCACTGGCCTCCACTCAGTGTCCGCCACCCCCCTCTGCCAATCCCTCCACTGGCCTCCACTCAGTGTCCTCCACCCCTCTCTGCCAATCCCTCCACTGGCCTCCACTCAGTGTCCTCCACCCCCTCTCTGCCAATCCCTCCACTGGCCTCCACTCAGTGTCCTCCACCCCCCTCTGCCAATCCCTCCACTGGCCTCCACTCAGTGTCCTCCACCCCTCTCTGCCAATCCCTCCACTGGCCTCCACTCAGTGTCCTCCTACCCCCTCTCTGCCAATCCCTCCACTGGCCTCCACTCAGTGTCCTCCACCCCTCTCTGCCAATCCCTCCACTGGCCTCCACTCAGTGTCCCTCCACCCCCCTCTACCAATCCCTCCACTGACCTCCACTCAGTGTTCTCCACCCCCTCTACCAATCCCTCCACTGACCTCCACACAGTCAGTCCTCCACCCCCCCTCTACCAATCCCTCCACTGGCCTCCTCAGTGTCAGTGTCCTCCACCCTCCTCTGCCAATCCCTCCTGGCCTCCACTCAGTGTCCTCCACCCCTCTCTGCCAATCCCTCCACTGGCTCCACTCAGTGTCCGCCACCCCCTCTGCCAATCCCTCCACTGGCCACTCCCCCACCCCCCTCTCCAATCCCTCCTCTGGCTCAGTGTCCTCCACCCCCCTCTGCCAATCCCTCCACTGGCCTCCACCCCCCTCTGCCAATCCCTCCACTGGCTTCCGATTGCACAACGGATCAGATACAAAATCCTAACACTGACGTACAAAGCCGTCCACATACTGCCCCGAACTACATCACTGACCTATATCCAAGTACCACCCAACACGCACACTCCGCTCCTCACAAGACCTCCTTCTCTCTCTCCTTCTCTCTAGTTCTCTGGTCTCCTCCTCCCCTCTAGTTCCCTGGTCTCCTCCTTCTCTCTAGTTCCCTGGTCTCCTCCTTCTCTCTAGTTCCCTGGTCTCCTCCTCCTCTAGTTCCCTGGTCTCCTCCTCCTCCTCTAGTTCCCTGGTCTCCCTCCTCTAGTTCCCTGGTCTCTCCTCCTTCCCTGGTCTCCTCCTCCTCTCTAGTTCCCTGGTCTCCTCCTCCTTCTCTCTAGTTCCCTGGTCTCCTCCTCTCTAGTTCCCTGGTCTCTCCTTCTCTCTAGTTCCCTGGTCTCCTCCTCCTTCTCTCTAGTTCCCTGGTCTCCTCCTCCCCTCTAGTTCCCTGGTCTCCCTGGTCTCCTCCTTCTCTCTAGTTCCCTGGTCTCCTCCTCCTCTCTAGTTCCCTGGTCTCCTCCTCCTCTCTAGTTCCCTGGTCTCCTCCTCCCTCTCTAGTTCCCTGGTCTCCTCCTTCTCTCTAGTTCCCTGGTCTCCTCCTCTCTCTAGTTCCCTGGTCTCCTCCTTCTCTCTAGTTCCCTGGTCTCCTCCTAGTTCCCTGGTCTCCTCCTCCTCTAGTTCCCTGGTCTCCTCCTCCCCTCTAGTTCCCTGGTCTCTCCTCCTTCTCTCTAGTTCCCTGGTCTCCTCCTTCTCTCTAGTTCCCTGGTCTCCTCCTCTCTCTAGTTCCCTGGTCTCCTCCTCCCCTCTAGTTCCCTGGTCTCCTCCTTCTCTCTAGTTCCCTGGTCTCCTCCTCCTCTCTCTAGTTCCCTGGTCTCCTCCTTCTCTCTAGTTCCCTGGTCTCCTCCTCCCCTCTCTAGTTCCCTGGTCTCCTCCTCCTCTCCTCCTCCTCCCTGGTCCCCTCCTCCCACGCCCTCCTCCAGGACTTCCCCAGGGTGTCTCCCATCCTCTGGATATAGAAATCTAGGGCGTGGCTGTATTTCGATGGCAGGCAGTAAGTGCTGTGACCATGTCCACCTTCCACGCTGTCTGTGTTGGACACCATTTCCACGTAAAGCTGGCATTGTTCTACCCCAAAGCTGCGCTGTGTTGGAACACAAATATTGCTGCTGTGAAGTGAAGGAGCAGAAAGATCTGTGAAAGCCGACATTTAAAGGGGACTATGGAGATGGGACCTCTGCATGTTCCTGCAAGGAAAGAGTCCGTCACATTGGTGACCATTGTCCTTCACAGACACCTTGGCTGATCACCGCAAATAGGAGCCCCACAAGGAGATCTACTGAAGGAAGGAAGCGGCCCATAAGAGGTAAGGATCCAGGGTGTTGGCCCCTAGGGGTCACTGGGGGGGGGGGGCAATCTAGCCCCAATAGGAGAAGATTTTGGCCCAATCATTGTTGCACAGAGTGGACAGTTGTTTGCACTGTTTTGGCTCTATAGCACTTTATGTATAGAAAGGTTTATAAATACCTCGTTATTATGTATACAGTAGGTGTGTGAGCACGGGATGGCATGTTTACACACGTGTTCTATGTATTTACAGTGTGAACACGCGTGTCCATTATTTATACAGTAGGTGTGTGAGCACGGGAGTTCATGTTTACACACGTGTTCTATGTATTTACAGTGTGAACACGCGTGTCCATTATTTATACAGTAGGTGTGTGAGCACGGGAGTTCATGTTACACACGTGTTCTATGTATTTACAGTGTGAAACACGCGTGTCCATTATTTATACAGTAGGTGTGTGAGCACGGGAGTTCATGTTTACACACGTGTTCTATGTATTTACAGTGTGAACACGCGTGTCCATTATTTATACAGTAGGTGTGTGAGCACGGGAGTTCATGTTTACACACGTGTTCTATGTATGTATTTACAGTGTGAACACGCGTGTCCATTTATTTATACAGTAGGGGTGTGTGAGCACGGGAGTTCATGTTTACACACGTGTTCTATGTATTTACAGTGTGAACACGCGTGTCCATTATTTATACAGTAGGTGTGTGAGCACGGGAGTTCATGTTTACACACGTGTTCTATGTATTTACAGTGTGAACACGCGTGTCCATTATTTATACAGTGGGGTGTGAGCACGGGAGTTCATGTTTACACACGTGTTCTATGTATTTACAGTGTGAACACGCGTGTCCATTATTTATACAGTAGGTGTGTGAGCCGGGACGGGAGTTCATGTTTACACACGTGTTCTATGTATTTACAGTGTGAACACGCGTGTCCATTATTTATACAGTAGGGGTGTGAGCACGGGAGTTCATGTTTACACACGTGTTCTATGTATTTACAGTGTGAACACGCGTGTCCATTATTTATACAGTAGGTGTGTGAGCACGGGAGTTCATGTTTACACACGTGTTCTATGTATTTACAGCGTGAACACGCGTGTCCATTATTTATACAGTAGGTGTGTGAGCACGGGAGTTCATGTTTACACACGTGTTCTATGTATTTACAGCGTGAACACGTGTCCATTATTTATACAGTAGGTGTGTGAGCACGGGAGTTCATGTTTACACACGTGTTCTATGTATTTACAGTGTGAACAC